ATTTTTGTATAATCCACGTGAGCGTGTCAGAACACGCAGTGCCACCAGTGTTTAAGGTGAGTCGCTTTGGGATCAACAATGTGCTGAACGCTCGGGCTGGCCATAATTATTATGAATTGATGATATGATCTGATATATCTACAGTATCTAGATCTGATATATATAGATATGATATCTGATCTGTGGTCAAACTGTAAGACAAAACGAACACAATTTATCAGTCAGAGTTTGAAGTGTGCAGAGTTTGTAACGTGTAACAGTGGATTTCAATTCATTGCATCGACACGTTTGATTTTGCATTAATTTGATGTCAATTTACCGTCTTCATTTTGAAGGAAATGTTTGAAATCAGCAGGTTTTTATTGTAATGCAGCACAAACTTTCCAAAAAATTGCCAAAAGACTTCCGATTGATGAAGCTTTGAGTTTTGCCATTTTGCCCGTCGCCATCTTTGTTTGGCCGTGGCCTTCTTTGTTTTCGACAGCCGCCATCTTGGTTTTTACAGGAGAGGGTGGAGCTAAGTACAACCGAACGCTGAATAAATCATTTCTAGGCGTCCAAAATGTTAGTTAACTTTCATGAAGTGTAAACACACTGTGAAAGGGTTAAAGTCGTAAGACAACGTGTCATGAGCTGTGTTTCCATTCACGTATTTTTAGTTGCACTTTGAAGTGTCCGATTAGAAAAGCTGCATGAAAACAGCTAAATTCTATAAAACTCCCTCAATTGCGCCAAAAAAGTTTTTATATATAAATGATATAGATAAATTCTGATGCAGCGAACATCTAGTCCACACGACTGATCAGCTCTCGGCGATATAAATAAAAAATGTCTTTGCATAAAACACGACCAACACTAAAGCTGACGTGAAAGAACAATTTCCTGAACAATTTGATCACATCTCACATCTCAGTGAGTCTTTGAGTCTCAGAGTCGAGTCTTTTAGCATATTTGTCAAAACACAAAATAGCACATTTCCTCACTTTAAATATCCCACAACCGACTAAAAATATGCTGAATGGAAACAGAGTGACCCGGCGCTCCGTAGTGAGAGAGAGGCTGCACGTTATGTGATGTACAGATAAGCAGAGTTTACACTTGTTTTGTAATGCTCGCATGCGAGGTGGTGCACGGAGGAGTTAGTACAAGCAGCAAGGTCACGTCCAGTGTGCTCTCGTCTTTTCTCCGGCACTAAGCCGCTCTGCATCTTTCTTCTCACACACTCTCTGCGCCTCTGCATGAGTCAGCGGAAGCCGTCTCTCTTCTTCTTTCTCTGAATGTGTCTTCGGGAGGAGAGACAGCCTTGTATCAAACGCAAAACAAAAAAGTCCCCCCCACCAAAGACGCTCGCCTCTTTGATTCCACCCTGTGATTGAGATTCACAAGTGCGAGTGGAAGCTCGTCGAGCATATTTTTGGGTACATGACAGCGAGCCCTCTGCCGTGCATCGGGAATTTGCACGAGTAGGCAGCTTTGCCAAATACAGTGTGATGTAACCTAATATTACGTGAAATGAATAGTCGTGAGTGGATGATCGGGGGTCGGGTGTTGCACTGTGAACGTCCCTCGTCACCCATTAACTTAAAACCCTCTGAATCTCTTTAGTGTGCTGCTACTTAAAGCTGCACAATGTTGCTGCAGACATAGCTCTTCGTGCACAGCGCCAGCAACATGCAGGCTGAGAGCTAATATTAGCATGTGCCCCCCCCCACCACCACCCGCAGTCCCGTTGTATCCAGGGAGCTAATATTAGAGCTGCACATGCTGCCTGGGGTTTAATTACCTGTGTGATTTTACTCAGCAAAGACCTGATGGAGTTTATCCATGTGTGTGTGTGTGTGTGTGTCATTGTGACCCAGAAGGACAACAAGAGGATGAGTCATCAATATCGAGCAGCTGTGGCCTTTTTTGTTTTGTTTAGAGAAGGAGCTTCTAACTGGTTCTGAACCAGTCTCAGTGTAGTCCTGATCCTCTATCAGACCTCCATCAGTGAAGAGACCATCAGAGAGAAGATGGTCTGTTTCTATAGAGTTATTCTTGATGCTCATCATCGGAGCCACCGGGTCGGATTCTGGTGAAACCAGATGAACTCATGCAGGATCACCAGAACCTCCTTCTGGTCTGTTTCCCATTACCACTCGCCACCTGGGCACCAGAGTGGGAAACACTGCAGCACCCCGGAGTTAGCGTCTAGATTTAGACCAACAGCTACTGTATTAAGATCCAGTGTTAACTTTATATTTCTGCCCTAGTACAGTAGCGTGGCATGGCCGTTCTTAGTTGGTGGAGCGATTTGTCTGGTTAATTCCGATAATGAACGAGACTCCGGCATGCTAACTAGCGTAAGGTGCGTAGCGTAGCGTAAGGTGGGAAAATACTCTTTATTCCTATAAACAATCGAGCAGATAACACATTAGGATAACAATAATAGAAGTACAGCTACAGTATATAAACCTCTGTGTTTGTGCACTAATCCTAAATCAGGCTTCCTTTATACCTGATACTTCTGATAGACAGTGTTGCTGTGCTTTACCGTGTTGTTTTGATAATTAACTTTATTAATACAGCTCTTTTGTGCTTTACATGGTTGAACAAAAACGTTTCAGGACCGCAAAAAGACCACGTATGGTGGTTGGGTCCAGAAACCCAGAACCTTCAACTACGTGGTGTTCGACACCGCGCTGTGGTTTTGTTGTTGTGTTTTGTTGCATAAACCTAACATTCGTTGTGTAATGTAATGTCTTCCCATAAATAACTCGCTTACGTTTTAAGTGTAAAATTGTCCAGACACGAAAAAACGGTCAATTCACGTAACCTTAACCTTGTGCACAAAACAAATAGAATGCATTTCGTGACTATTTCACAAACTGCCACGACGAGCCTGTGTTGTGTTGCATTTTCCACGCTTGCAAGATTGACTTCATTGCAAAAAGCCATTTTTCTTCACGCTTACTGGCAAAATATCAGAAGCTTGTTCCTCCAAGGATGTCTGTGACACTTCAGCCAACGAGAAACAATGAAAGATGCTTTTAGTTGACAGTTCGTTTGAGTGTGTCTGCAGGTTTTCCCTTTAGGCCCCAACAACCTGCAGCAGTAAGATCGAACGGCCTTGTTAGAATGTTTTATCCTCGTCTGATTTGACCATGAAACCTTTTTAAAGAAGTAGAATAGTTTTGGCCATTCCTTTCACATAATTTATTATTACACTCGTCAAAACAATCTCCCCACAAGGTCCATTTAGTAACTGTTCTGGAGCTTTCTGATTGTATTACTTGATCATCCTCAGCAGATTGACCAGTAATCATTTTAAGGACTTTCTCCTCTGTGTTGGCTTAAAGGTTGAGATTTAAAGTTCACTTTTGATCCATGTAAAGTATAGAAACCTTCTTTATTTTCGTCCACGTAAATAAACATCTTTTCTTTCATTGCTTCCCCTTCAAGTCTACAATCACCTTAATCTGAATATTACAATAAACATATAAAGACTTTACTTTGATAACGCTATAGTTAAGATGAATGTGTCCCTTAGTGTTTTAGCTGAACTGGTCCTTTAAACTGTCTCTAGGAAGCGGGTTGTGTTACATCTGCAGTTGTGTGTTTCTAACGTGGACCTTCCTGTAACTCTACACTAGTTTCTCTCTCTTTATGTTTCCTGCTCTCTCTCCATCCATCTCCAGTGCTCTTTCTCTCACCCGTCTTTATCTCTCACTTGCTCCCATCAACATCTGTCTCAGAAGATGAACCAATGGATCAAATGAAGTTCAGGCCCATCAGCTCTTTCCCAGAATCGTTAACGTGTAGTCCCAACGACTTCCTTCTCTCAGTGGCATCAAATCATATGTGATGATAATCCCAGTGGATCCATCGCTCGACCGGCTCTGACACATTTATGACGTCGTCAAGTGCTTGACCGTATGCAGCTGAAAACACCGATCACAATGTTTACTTTCCTAAATACAACGTCAGTGTTTCTGTTTTTTAAATGCTCAGCTCCCAGAGAGGAAATGATCTTTTTAATGACGAAAGTACTCTTTCTTGGTGGTAACAAATGATACCTACTAATCAGTCCAGTGGCTTCCACCATCACCTTTATGATGCAGCCGAGGAGCCTCCTCGTCTTCCTCACACCTTCACAGACAATGGAGCCCCGCGGAGCCACCAACAGCTGGACAAAGGCCTTTATTTTGTGAATGGTGTATCTGTGGGAACGTTAGCTCTGAGGTGTGAAAAGATAAGAGTGTGACAAATGCAGAGGCGGTAAAAGTTGTTAGAGGAGCATTTTTTACTTTTATTTATCCACAGTGAATAAAAATAAAATAAAAGGTTAATCAGACGGCCAAGTTGCTGCGACTCCACGCGGAGAGGCCCGGGTAAATTAGTTAAGAATCGGCCTACGTGAGACTGAAAAGATTGTTGAGATTGAGTTTGGTCTATTTTGAAGACGAGGGCGGGGACATCAGTCGGGGGTCAACGAGGGAAAGTCGTTCCAACTCTCTCACAAGTTCTCTTTGTTCTGTCGACTTTCATTTTCAACGCACACTTTCTCTCCCACTGCTGCCATACGGCGGCTCCAAGCTGTCGCTGCTGGCAGCAGAACGGAGTTCACCGTCCTCTTTTTGCTTTTGTTTCTGTTGTCCGTGGCTTCATTGGCGTGGAAAGTCGTTCTGCGTGAGCGCAAAACAGAACAATTGGAGATGATTCAGCTTAGTTTAGTTGAGTCAGAGATTCAGCTCAATAAAGAGGAAAAAAGAGGCTCCAGCTAACAGAGATTAATGAAGACGTTTCTGTGATAAGAGTTTCTTTCTTCAACTTCCAGAGGAGCTAGTTGAGCTTTAAGATCCTCTTTTTGAATCTGTTGTGGACGTGCTGGTGACAGATCAGAAAACAGCACTAACAAGTTAAAGCGTGCTTCACAAATACCGGCATATCCTGTTTGCGTCTAGCGTCACTTGAGGACACGAAAGATAACAGATCCTTCTTTTTCTTTTTTTAATGCACAGGTATGAAGAATAGGGAGCAGTTGGAGGTGTCCCTCGGGCACGTTTGTCCTCTGGCCGTTCAGCCTGTGTGTCTCTGCTCTGCACACAGACGCTCTGGGAGGGAGAAGAAAGACCGCCTAAAAATAAACTGACACGCACCACCAGCAGAAACAACAAACATATAAAAGAGGAAGAGGACAAAGAAGACCTTTTGTTTTTGTCTGTCAATCACTCTCTTTCTCTGCTCCATTTCTGTGTCCTCATTACGACCAGAGAGGAGGTGTCATGTCCCAGTCTGGGAAAGTCCTTCATTTGTATGTGGAAGTGAGGTCTGCCCCAGATCAGAGCGGAGGGAAGGAAGGGATCGTTCAGGGGCATTCGGTTCAGGACAGCCCAGCGGAGCTCCTGTCTCAGCTGGCGAGCCAGACGAGTGTCGCCAAGACCTCCTCGGCTCACCGTCTGGTTCAGGACCGCACACGCAGCCGGTCTCCTTCTAGAAGCAGCTTCCAGCTGCAGCAGGCCAGAGGCTCCCCGACGGTCGCCAAGCACCGGAGTGCACCACGTGATGGGGCGTCTGCAGTCCGCTCTCCATCGATAATGCCCTCTTCCGGAAAGGTCAGCGTCCCTCACACTCCCCCGAACTGCCGCGGGTTCAACAAGGACGAGGTCGCCGACGGGACGCGGTCCGTGGTCACCTTCAGCTACATCGAGAAGTCCAACGTGAAGGCGTTGGACAGTCCCCGCAGCTCTCTGTGCGAGCGGGGGACCAGAGAGGAAAGATCCACGCCATCTCACTTTCGTAAAAGGTTCAGCGACCCGATTTGGTTTGGGAGTCCCGATTCATCGTGCAGCTCCAGTCCCAAGCTGACTTTCCGATCTCCAGGGAGTCGCCGGCAGACTCCAGGCATTCGCCAACCGGCCTTGGACCCCATCGGCAGGGCAGCTACCCAGAGGGCCGTGAAGGAGTTTGGCTCCCCTCTACTGCGGATCAAACTGGCCCATGCACTTGAGCAAGCCTCATCCTCACACTACAACCAGCAGCCGCGCTGTCAGTCCTGGGTCGGGTCGCCCGTTCAGCGCCAGAACATCAGTGTAAACCTCAAAGACCACTTCCCAGATAGGAGCCAGGCGGTTTGCGGGCTGCCCCGGAGCCCGGCGTCAGACCAGCTATCCTCCCAGTCCCGCGTCGAGTCCCAGAGCCCTCTTCACTGGTCGGCAGAGGACCGAGCTGTGGCAGGAAGTCCAGCCGTCAAAAGACATGTTCAGAGGTCCAGCACTTCACCGCAGGAAGCACTCCTCCAACTTGGCAATAATGTAGTTGAGGGCTTGAACCAGTTAAGTGACAGTAAATCCTCCTCTCCAGCTGATAGCCCTGAAGTCGCCCGCAGGCTAGCGGAGGAGGCTACCAAAGCATCCTCCATTTTCACAGAGGCAAGAAGGTCCTCATTGCACAACGCTTTAGGTGATCCCACTGGAGAATTTCACAATTCAGCTCCCAACGCACAACAATCTAAGAAAACACTTAAGATGAACATCCCTTTAAACGACCAACACGCACCAGAAACAGACAACACCGACTCTCACCAGCCGCAAAACTCCATCTTGACGTCGCACGAAACGAACTCCCGCACTAAATATCAAACGCACCGGGAGGACTGCGTTCAGAAGTCCCAGCGTCAGAGCTCGACAGGTTCCCCCGCCATTCCTTCGCGTGTTTTCCGTCCATCTCATCCTCCAACTGAGCTCAGCTCTCCCATGAGGGACCCCAGGCTATTCCAAGCTGAGCTCCGAGCACCGGATACCCCAACGCTGCATCGCCGGCAGCTCCCGCAGTACGCCAGGGACTCCTGTTCCCCGGGGCTGGACAAGAGAGGAGACCTGAGCTGTTTCGAGCGAGGGGACTGCACTGAGCTCGCCCGCAGGCTCTTCATCAATCAGAGCGTCGAGGAGACACCGGTCAGCTGGACGTCCAGGCAGCAGTGGGGGAATCAGCTGGAGAACAGCCCGAGGCCGAGTCCCGAGGCTGGATTTGGGTCCAGCGACGACCAAACACCCGATCGTCAACCCAATCCCCGTCGCAGGCCGCTCAGTCCCACCGCCCAGCAGAAACGAGCGGAGCAGAGGAGGAGGGAGATCCTTCTTCTGGGCCCGGTGGTGCTGGACTCTCCGGAGGAGGACGAGGACTGCGAGGAGGAAGGTCGGGACGATGAGATGGAGGGGTATGAGGCGGGTCAGCAGAGGGCAGAAGAGCCGGGTGAGGCGGAGCAGAACGGAGCGATGGGAGGGTCGTCCTCGCGGAGCTCCAGCGGGGTGACGGGCAGCTTGGGGGACAGGGACTGTGTGTCCCCCGAGTCCAGTCAGTCCAGTCACCAGAGCAACGAGACCGGCGCCGCCACCTCAGGAATACAGGTGGGCACTGGACAAACCACAAATCACACTTTTTCTTTTAGAGTTAAAGGAGTATTCTGGCATTTTAGGAAATTTCTTTAGAGTTAAATGAGAACATATGGAGCTGGAAACATTCAGCTGTTAGCCTAGCTTAGCATTAAGACTGGAAGTAGGAGGAACCAGTTAGCTTAGCTCTCTCCAAACGACTAAAATCCATCTCCCAACATCTCTAAATTGCACTTATGTAACACGGTGTATTCTGTTTATGAGGAGTTACATGCAGGTGTCTTCATATGCTCAGCATAATACTTTTGTGAAGCATGTGACTCCCCTTAAAGCCGCAAATTGTTGTTTTTATATTTCTGTGTAAAGATTGAAAAAATTAGATATAACACATTAAACAGTGAGCTATAAATGGTTTGGTGTATGTTTGTTACTTTGGAGGGAGCTCGCTATTTCCACCCTGCTTCCAAAGTTAATGCTAAGCTGACTAACTGACTTTAGCTTCATGTACACAGACATGAGAGTAGTATCAATCTAAGTGAATAAGCATATTGCCCAACATGTTGTTTCATTCCTCTATAGCCTCTCAGCGTGTCTGTGTGTGTGTCTTTCAGACGGACAGCGGCTGTGCAGCGCCGGTTCCCTCGCTCCATTGTCAGAGGATCGCTCGAGCCAAGTGGGAGTTTTTATTCGGGACCCCAGCTAAGGAGGTCGCTAGCAGGGGAGAGAAAAGTGAGAGCATGTCCATTGTCCTCACCTGAAACCTTGTGAACGCCTGCAAATGTTGAGCAACCCCCTGAAATTGCACCTTAAATCTAAAATGTGGGAAATCTGTCAGAGTCCTAACAGCTCAGTTGGCAGAGAAAGTACACCTCAGTTTGAAGGTTGTAGGTTCAAATCCCTAAATATTGAAAAAACATTTTTTAAAGAAAGATGATGGATCTCAAGTGACATTTAATCTGTACTCTTTGCTACTCAAGTTTTTGGGGACATTTCGGTCGGTACCAAAATAGAATTGAGGTTTCAAACTCGGCCTTTAGTTATGTTTCTGGACCAATTAGATCAAAGGGATGATCTGAATATGTTTTCTGTGCAGTTACAACAGGGAATTAGCAAATATAGCCAGTCACATGTTTGACTCTCTCCATGTTCAGATGCTCTGGAGACCTCCACCGCTCCCCCCAGCGGTAACTCCAGCGACTCTCCCACCCCGACTCCCCCGTCCTCCCTCCCTCTGCTCTCTGCCAACCACGAGGTGCAGCACGTGGAGGTGGAGCTGGTGACGCCTCCTCCGGCCGTTATCGGCACTTCGCCCAAAACGGGCATCATTCGTCGGACGCTGAAGTACTCGGAGACCGACCTGGACGCCGTTCCGCTGCGCTGCTACCGAGAGACGGACATAGACGAGGTGCTGCTGGCCGAGCAGGACGACGGCGACTCGGCGTTCGGGAGCAACCGCAGCGTGCAGGGCACCTCGGGGACGGGCAGCAGTCCGCTGGGGGGTCTGGCTTACGGGAGGCCGGACGGGGTGGAGGTGGAGGAGAGAAGAGTGGGGAGGGAGGAGGAGGAGGGAGATGGGGAAGAGGAGGAGGAGGAGGAGGAAGAAGAGGAAGAAATGGTGAGCTGGGCCAGTGTGAGGATGCAAGGAGACAACAGGAAGCAGCAGTTTGCAGCTCAGGAGGAGCCAGAGGTGTTTGGACACCTGCTGAAGAGGTGAAACGTGAAAACACACAGTCACACCACAAAACATGCAAACACACACACACAGGAGTTCACAAAGGGAAGCAGGATCTTCCCCCTGACCTGCATTTTGATCTGGATTTAGATCTCACTCCTAACCTATTTCTCGAGTAGCTTGTAAACAAGTTGGGTGGCATCATTAACAGAACAGCACATTTCATCCTGTCTTTATAGGAACTACAGTTAGAGTCCTTTAGTCGAGATCAGTGGTTCCCAACCAGGCGGCAACCTCCGGTTTAGCCGAATGAAGTCGATGCGGGAGTGACTTAAAGCGGCATTCTCTCTAATTATACACAAATAGTATGATACTACTACTCATCTTTATCTGACGCTGAGCACAAATACAAGGTTTAAACAGAATGTGAACTCCTATTTTTGACTTATGAAGTGTGTTATTATGAGTTAAGTTAGTTTTGACAATGTCAGAGTAGACAAATCTCGCCGCACCCCCTGTGATCTATGGTGGACCCCGTTGGGAACCACTGGTCTAGATGCTTCTTTGCACATTCAAACTTTTCTTTACAAACACATCTGTGTTGCTTCAGTGTTTCTAACCCCCCCCCCCCCTCTCTCTGTCCAGACCAATGGAAACTTTTTTTGACAACCACCACCCGGCCCTGAAATCCCCCATCTTGGTCTCCGGTCCCCGCTGCGCCGCGGAGGACACCTTCAGCCGCCACTTTGAGAGCATCATGGAGTCTCACCGGGCCAAAGGCACATCGTACAATAGCCTGGACAGCGAGGAGCTGCTGACCTCCAGCACTCAAACCGTCCTGACCTTTGACCTGCCCACTCTCACCCCAGCCATCCACGGGCCGGTCTGCCAGAGCGCCAGGCAGATCGTGCAGCTCAGCTTCGCCCCGCTGGCCCACGACGAGAGGCCCAGTATCTCCGATTCCATCTTCACCATGACGGGCGACTCGGACGCCACCCGGGCCCCGTCCAGTGAGAGGCTGAGCAGCGGTTCGGACGACACGCCGCCCAGAGGAAGAGGGTGTTCGCAGCTGGGGAGCAGCTGGTACAGCAACCCGTCCTTCTCATTACCGAGGTGAGTGAGCAGCACCTCAAGTGGTCTCGATGAATTTTACTGTGGTAGTTCTCTCGGGATTTTTTTTGGCCACTTTGGGGGCAACGGACGCAAACTAAACACAACATTGACATATTATCTCCAGGCAGCAACCTCTTATTCTGCAGAGTGAAGCCGATGCTTCATGTGTTAAAGCTGCATTCTCTCTAGTGTCCACCAGGGGGCGACTCCTCTGGTGGTATAGAAGTCTATGAGAAAATGTCTCTACTTCTCTCTTGATTTATTACCTCAGTAAACATTGTAAACATGAGTTTATGGTCTCAATCTCTAGTTTCAAGTCTTCTTCAATACAGCATGATGTTCATTTAGTACATTATGGTCCATTTAGAGTCAAACAGACCATAAAGCAGGGGATGCTTTAGGGCGGGGCCACACAGTGATTGACAGGTCGTGGGGGCTTTTATTTTGGGCATCTCTACTCCAGCTTTACAAACTATCAGCTAGTTGGTTTGTGTTCAATGCTCAGAGCTGGTTGTAAACAGGAAAGACTGTGTGTTGCAAAGTGATGTAAAAACCTCTATTGAGACGCATATTCTGAAGTCACTGTACACATGCTCTGATGTCCTGAATAATATCGGCATATCACACATGTTTTATTTGGAAAATGCTCCATTCATATTGAGGCCTAGCAGGTTCAAACATCTGGTGAAAAGACAGAAACCAGAAAAAGTTGAGTCTGTTGGAGCAGCAGATTTATGAACTTGGTTTTTAGAAACTCATGTTCAGGTGTTTTTTTTTGGCCTTCATCCTAAAATGTTTCACATCGCTGACAGCTGAGATGCAGTCGAACTGTTCAATGATTCACCAAGAATCCGAGTGACGGTGAATCTGGGTCACGTTTGTTGTTGCGTATCATTCTGATTTCTATTTATCTCCACTCTGCTCTGAAATAGGGCAAGAGCTGCATCTTTATCTGAAAGGACACGAGGATACAGGCCTCCTCGTACTGTAAATCACACACACATCTCTTTGCATTCAGGCTCATAGCGAGACACAAATTGAACCTGGTCCAACATCAAAGAGTTTGTGATGTTAATTCAGTCTTTACCTGAAGCCAGTGCCCCGTTAACGGACAGCTGTCGGCCTCCAGACCAACCAGCGTCACCTGTCTTTGTCGTTATCCTTGTGCAGAGCAGTGCTGCAGTGCTATTCTGGAGCCGAGCAGCTTTACAGCGAAGGTCGCTAGGAGGCTGCTTGTGATCCCTCTGCTCTGTGTGTGTGTGTGTGTGTGTGTGTGTGTGTGTGTGTGTGTGTGTGTGTGTGTCTAATATGTGAATCCATCTGTGCATATTCCCGTATCTGTATGTGTTTGAGGGTGTGCATGCACGTGCATCTTTAGGTGGTTTTGGATGATTGTATACTTGAAGTGCATGCTGTGTGTGTGTGTGTGTGTGTGTGTGTGTGTGTGTGAGACAGAGGCAGATGGCTGCTGCAGCAGTGAGGAGCTCACCTTGACTGTCAGAGTCCCAAAGACTTTTGTTTTAACCCTCCACAGACTCCCACCTACAATTCAGAAGACTCTATTTCATACCAGCAGCCTTTGTTCTCTTCATGTTGCATGCAGAATATTACTTTTACAGCTCTCTCAATGCATCTTACTTCCTCTTTTCTGCAAGACACGTGGGACCATCAGTCGGTGATTGTGGGGATCGATATGCTACGGGTCTTATGTGTGACGCTGAGGCGCACCGGCTTTGTGAATGTCACACTAACTTACTGTGACAGCACTGCAGAGGTAGAGCGACTGCACCGGGTCACCTTGTTGCTTTGACCACTAGATGGCAGAAGAGGACAGCAATTAAGCTGTCAGGTGCTTTTTTTAGAGTAATCTAATGCAGGTGTGTAACTTTGAGCTGCAGGAGCTGAGTTATTTCTAAAGTCTCATGCACAGACATAGGTCGTGTTTAAACATAAACTGATTTCTTTTTTAACTCTTAGCTTCCTGATTAAACACTTTATTTGAGATCACACTGGACTAGTTCAGGTAAATGTTTGCTCAGCGCCAATCTTATCGCACGTCTGTAACCGGCCCGCCCGGCAGCCCCCGGAGCTGTGGAGTCTAAAAGACGAGACAAATATTTTCCCGAGTGCATACTTTGATAAAAGTTGGAATTTCACTCCCCTCCTCCTCCTCCTGCTCTCCCTCACATCACCCTTTTTTCAGATGGTCTGCTCTATTAGACAGTGGCTCATTGTGCCTCGTGGACTGAGAGGAGGTTCAATTATATCAAGGGGAGGCCGTTAAACCAAGAGACTGACACACCGGGGAAATTCTCTCAAAGACCTCTCGGCTCTCGACGATGACAATGTGTGCCGTGCTTAATCTTGTGATTGTGAACGACTCCTGCAGGCCCCGATGAAGCGCATGCTGTAAACAGACTCCACAATGGACTCCAGGCGTTTGACAAAAGGCCACCTATTCTCTCCGCTGGGCAGATATGGTTGAAGAGCAAACAGTTTAAAAAAAGGAACACAGCCAGTGTATCATGTTTAAACCCGACACCTTTGTTGTGCTAAAAGCTCACACCAAAAACAAGTTGGGATAAAATGTGTACAACACCCAAAAGGATGGATATGAGTGTGTGTAACTGGAGATGATGTGAGAGAGAGAGAGGAATGAATGGAGGGTATAGAAAAAGGAAGGGAGGGGATTTTGTAGGCAACAGACAAGCCAAGTTTCATGCCATGCTTCAAGGTCAGCGAGGGACATTGAGTTTACACAGTGGAACAGGGAGAGAGAGAGGGGGGGGGAGAGAGAGAGAGAGAGAGAGGGAGAGAGAGAGAGAGAG